CTGTTATGAGAAACTTTTTATATAATTATCACAATTGTTGACTTATTTCGGTTCAGTTGATTGATTGTGGATATTAGTTCCAAGGACGAAATTAGCTTATATCACTCCCAATACACCTAGCTACAAATCAAGGAGCAAAAAACAGTTCTTTCTTTTTAGTTTGAGATTCCTTAGTAGCCCACACTTATGACTCAAACAGAGCATTCGGACCTCCCAGTTATACCCCAATAATCATTTAGACGACCGAGTCAGAATTCAGCTCCCAACTTGCACTACAGCAGAACAATCACCTAGCAGTCCTCCAGTTGATGTCCATCAGTGACTAAACCAATCTCGCTACTCAGGTTTTATCAGTTGGACAACAACACAGAAAAACACTTTTAGTAAAGAAATATGAAAAAGAAAACATCTGGTTTAATACTCTATCTCAAAAAATAAAGCCAAATGTTTCAAGGCTACTCCATTGCCATTATATACCGGTTACTTGATTATCCAACTTTGGAGGTTATTGCTTAAACCGTCTTGCAATCTAAAGATTGAGTGATATTAAGCTAATTTCCAGGAGGACTGAACAGTATGAGACCAGAATTCTGAAATACTCGAAATAGTATTTAACTTCTGTTCATGAATAAAAATCAGTAATAATGTTGAACGTTGTAAAAAGAATATGAAGTACATAAGATCACTGAAATATTTCTTTACATTATCACAAGCCAGTCACTGATCCTTACTTAAAAAACAGTAAATGAGAATGAAATATTTTAACTGTCAGTGTTAAGTACCATCTATTTTACATCCAATATGTACATTCAATTAAAAGTAAACTTTTAATTAACAAATCCTTAAACAATCAGACTATTGTTACAATCGTGATAAACACTTAATTTAAAACCACAGCTTATCAACTCAATGTTTCTCAGTAAATTGTCAATTATATTGGAAAATGAACAAACTTCTTTTGAGTCCTAAAAAATCATTGTGACTTACTGAAAAGCTGTTTATTCTAACACAGTATGCAAAATAACCTGATGTAGGCACTGATTTCTAAAAGTATGTTGAATGCAAATCAAAAGTAGGCTTACATTTAGCTTATTATAATAATGCACAAGTGTAAAGAAAACCACCAACTTCAAGATCAACAAGCTGGATTCCGTAAGTATCGGTCGTGCACAGACCAAATTGCGACACTACGGATCATCGTCGAACAATCAATTGAGTGGAACTCGTCACTGTACATCAACTTCATTATGAAAAGGCATTTGACAGTGTAGATAGAAGAACGTAATGGAAACTCCTTCGACACTACGGAGTTCCTGAGAAGATTGTCAATATTATCCGGAACTCATACGACGGACTACAGTGCAAAGTAGTGCATGGAGGACAGCTGACAGATGCATTCCAAGTAAGGACCGGGGTCAGACAAGGCTGTTTACTCTCTCCCTTTCTCTTTCTTCTGGTGGTCGACTGGATTATGAAGACTTCGACATCTGAAAGAAAACACGGAATACAATGGACAGCTCAGAACCAATTAGACGGTTTGGACTTCGCAGATGACCTAGCCCTTCTATCGCATACACATGAACAAATGCAGATAGACAGTCAGTGTGGCAGCAGTCTCTGCATCAGTAGGCCTCAACATACACAAGGGGAAAACCAAGGTCCTCAAATTCAAAACGGAGAACAGCAATCCAATCACACTTGATGGCGAAACTCTGGAAGATGTAGAATCCTTCACATACCTAAGAAGCATCATCAATAAACAAGGAGCATCAGATGCAGACGTAAAGGCGAAGATTGGCGAAGCAAGGGACGCATTCCTTCAATTGAAGAACATATGGAACTCAAAACAACTTTCAACCAATATCAAAGTCAGAATCTTCAATACTGTTGAGAGATACAACGGAACCTCTAGAAGCCCTAATGGAGCAGAAGAGTTTCGGCCAATCAGAGCATGAGGGAGTTTTCTAGAACATTAACGTGGTATGCTACTATTGGTCAGTAGCATAATATGTCTCTTAGCGGATTGGCCAAAATATAATGTTGATATGACGAATGCTAATAATTTATAAATACCCGTATTTTTCTGTACAAAAACGAACCTTCGGAGTAAAGTGCTTTCCGCTTAATTTGCGCCTTTCCTCTCGTGTTAAGGTCGCTGCGTAGTTCTAGCTTGCGGGTTACCAGAATAGCTTAGGAACCGAATAAAGCGTTCAAATTAGCAAGACTTATCATTGGTGACGCGGTGAAAAAAATCCTGAACCTTTAATTAACGAATCAACGTCAGCCTGTAGTTGGACGAAATTCAGTATAATTATTTCGAGCAATCAGCATACGAAATTCACACCGGTGTTCTTCAACGACATTGATTGCTAATTAGTCATACAGCATTTTTCATTACCATGCTGATTCCGAAAATGACTATCCCTTCCGATCAATTACAGTTGCTATTTGAGCAAAAACACCAGCGTTTCAAGAAGAGCCAGTTGAATGTTTTAGACAATTTACGCACACGGATGCTAAATCATCCATGTTTTTGAGATATGACCGAGGTTGATAAATTAATTTCTAATTTGCATACAGAGCTGGAAAATGGCTGCAGAACACATGAACGTGTAGATGAAACTCTCCGTGAATCCTTGGTGAGCGGTAATGTAAACGAATTAGTAGCAGTCATTTATGATGCGCCCAGAGACATGCCCTGCCATGGGTTCAAATCCCATTGTCCCCGAAACACTATGTGCAAACATTGGATTGTCCAGCTCACAGAAAGATGATGTCTTATTAAATGCTCATGAAATTATTGCAGTACCCGCCCACAAAGAAACAGAAAATGAATCAAGCTTCATAATGAAGACAGTTGCATTAAATGGAGCTCATCATTCTACGACAAAAGTTTCTGATGAATGTACTTATTGGGGTTCTCTAGTTGTTTTACCAGATATGAGTCATCTTAATGACTCACATGCCTTTGATCAAATTTCTTACAAGAATGAGGAAAATTTGTCGGATTTATCAAACGATGATCAAGAACCTAATAAAATCTTGATAGATGCTGATTATTCTAGTGATCGATTATCCACTAATGAAATTTTCAAGAGATCTGACGAAAATGTTTCACAAGAATCAGACCTTAATGATCTCGTATCTAGTGTCGCTGATCCACACCATCTAGTCAGTTCTAGTGGGTTCTCTACACAATGCGGGAAATATGCTTTAAATAAAGTAGCTTGGAAATATGGGGACCCAACATTATTTCATGGGGGAGGGTGAAGTCATAAAATTTAAAGATGGATCTCAACTTTGAGTCTTCATTATGAGCTTTGTTCAAGACTAATTCCGTTTTGATTCAATGTAATGATTACTGAATGTAGTTTTTCTTTTCTTTTCTCGTGTGATATTTTATTCTGTATAATATACGATATTCTTGTATTGCATTGACATGAACTATGCTTAGTATGTGATTTGTTATAACTCTAAGTATTTTTCATATATGTGATTTCATCCTAATTATTAATCAAAATCGGTGTACAATCAATATACAAATGAGTGTATTTCCTACTAAAGTAGTAACGTTTTGAGGTTAATAAATCATCACTTATACCAGTCTTTGTGTTCTTTCGCATCGTGGGAATTGCAGAGGTTCCTCGTTCCGAGTATAGGTGATAAGCGTTTCTGACATAACAATCAGCGACGACCAAATACAAAAAGTAGCATTAAAAGAGCCAAGATAATAAGCATTCAAACGAAAAGTTATAACAAATACCGTCAAGGCAGTTCTACTGTACGGAGCTGAAACTTGGAGAACTGCAACAATCACCATCAAGAAGGTACAAGTATTTACATTTACTGAACTACTTATAATCCACTGATTACAATGGATAGTTTACGCAGTATCGTCGGATCAAATATTTGAACATAGAACAGTTAACCGGTCAGTGAGGCTCAATTAATATTGAAAGTGTTGGGGATACTAGATTCCCAGAAATCACTTGGCAAACGTCACGTGTTTGTAGTTTTAATTTCGGAATTTGAATTTCCCATTTTCGCGCCCACTTTCATCTTCAGTTTGTATTTCCCACTTGCAATGGCCTTAAGTGGCATTTGCTCGTTTCCTCTTTTAGTACGCGATTTTGTGACGTTTTTCGAGAACATTTTTATACTATACATATATATGCATGGGTTGTGTGTTTGTTCGTTCGTACTTCCGACTGCTTATGGAATATGCATTTCCTTCAGCTGAATCTGGTCTTCTTCCTTTAGTTAACAAGGCTGGGGCGCACTAGAATAGTTTAGCTTGTCCTATCGCTGTGTTGCTGACTTTCGTTCCGCTTTCCGATTTTTGGTGATTCGTAATCTCTTCAATAGTAGCACAATTTGTTAGATCTACTCCTATGACTATAATAAGTGACACAATAAACGTGAATGAAATTAAAACTTTAAAGTATCCGAAAAACTGGTACCGGCTCGAGAACATTCAGACGAGTAACAAGGTTAGATTGAAGATACAAATGAAAGTAAAAAAAAAATTGACTGTAGCTCCATATCGTGAGTATATCTAACAAAGATAATTATATGCCTAGTATGAAGTACAACATGTATCCAACAAGTTTTTACTGTTATTAGGTGTATTTATGAAATTATTTTTGAAATACGAAAATGTTTAGTAAATAAAAACACTTTTAACCAACAAAACTAAACAAGATCATATACACTTTCTGTGCGCCTTGATAAAAATCAATTACTGGACTTTATAAATTAAATAACACGATATAGCGCTTCCAGTTTTTTCAAGAAACCATATCAAATGTATAAGGGTATGTTATGAGATAGAAAACATTTGTGAATGAGTTAATTTAAAACTGTCTTTCATATTTCGTTCATCTAGAACGATATTATTTATTCTATGCTTTTTGCAGTTACAATAGGAGTGTGTTAACTGAATATACAATTCAAAGTAAGGAAAGACAAGACATTTAATAGCAGCTTAACAGTAGTATGTATCACAGTTGTTCTGTGGAATTTCCATTCCATCGGGCTTGTTCATCATCCGAACTATCAGGCATGTGCGAAAGACGAGCAACATTACCCTATAAAAGAGATTAAATATAGCACAATCAACGATGATATTATAAACACTATATGTAGTTAGAATAATAACATCGATTCCGCCTTCAGAATGATCTTGAACTTACTTGACGTCTTACAGAACGATTTTGTTTTGAACCACTTGGAGGTACAGTATTTCCAGGAGGATTACTATTAGATTGCTGAGTGCGAGAACCTGTCAGACTGGATACAAGACTCTGTCCCAACGAATATAATCCACTTACTGCCCAACCAATTAAACCATAAGTAGTGCTGAAGCCTGAACTGATAATATTGTAAAACTGGGACACGATTCCATCTATATGAAAAAAGAGAAATTATTAAAGGATCTCTAACAAGTTCTATATCTTCTGATCATAAAAATTTAACAAAGTAAATAAATTATTTTATAACAAGACACATAAGAGTTTCGTTGTTGAAATAAACACAATATCTGCAGTTAACATCGGATTATGATTCACGATGAAATCTGTCAAATATTACTCATCACTTAAAGATTTAGGAAAGAAATGACTATACAAAAATCCGAAAACACTCATTCAAAGAATGAATACCAAGTATGCTAAAACCTGACTCTTGAACTATCAGAAAGTATTTACATACAATCTCACATTCCGAATCTTCGTAAACTAGTTAAAGCAGTGAAATTTAAGGCTTTTCATTTATTGGTAATGAACTAATTCTATTTACTGCTGATGACAACTGGATATTTGTAACACTTACTTAAAACCCGTCCTAGTGATGTGGCTGAGAATGATAATAAAAGCTTCGTAACTACATAATTCATCTGAAAATACCCAAAATCATTAAAATCACTCAGTATATTTTGTAAATTAAAGTTAATTAATTAGAAATAAAGATTTTATTTTAACAGTTGAATTCACAAGTTGGTCAAAGCTAGATTACCACAGAAAACCTGGAAGTACTGAACAGACGTTTCGTCCTAGTACGAAACTCCTCAGAAGGGCGCATCCACAATTCATACGCAAGACTCGAACCCAGGATCTTCAGTCTCGCACGCAAACACTTGAGTCGGCATCCGACGGTGTTCAAGTTCAACTTCAAACAGTACATGATCTTGTGCAACTCTTCATCCATTATCTGAAGTGGACAACTGTCTCACACCCGATATGGATTGGACTCCATTGGTCATTGCTTCTCACTAGAACTCCAGGAAATCCATCTAGTGAGCACATGATTACTATCAGTATAGAGATTTGTGGAGATCGTAGTATTTCCTTACAGTTGAGTCCCGAGTGCGGGATCGTAAGTGAGCACTAATGAGGAGTCCCATACCATGACGAAATGGCCTTTTAGTGTTTCTAGGTTTTCAATGGTGGTCTAGCTTAGATCGACTCGGGAATTCAACTGTTAAAATGCTACAATCTTCACAAATCACCATACTAATAAAAAGTTTATTGTTATCATATTATCCGAATGTGTTTAATTTCCAAATATTAAATGGTTATCTAATAGGGAAATAGAAATTTACTATTACAATTATTCGTATCCGAACACCAAACAATACCTTCGGAAGCAAAGTTAACTCCAATGAATTTTATGTAAATTATGAGATTAATTAGACAAATTGCACAATACTAGTAGTGAACTTATTCATTGTGAATTGGATATCACGACATAAAAATAAATAGTAAATGAGAAAGTAAAGTATGAAAAATTTTAGAAACTGTGTAATATGAACAATAAACTAACCATTTGAACGCGTGATAGCTTGATTAGATTTGTTTAATACAAGAAACAATGCAGCTGATGGATAATAACCAAGTTCTCTTAATGACTGAGATTCGTCTTCTGGTCTCAAGATCCTATATGGAAAGTATCAAAAAATCGTAACATTATTAAAGTAAAAAATATGGGATCGATATTTTTTAAGAGTACACAGTAGTAAGATATACCTAACATAATATTTAGGGATATACTTTGAAACTAATTTCAACATTTTTAAGATAATATTTGTGTGTAACCATATTATCACACCGTATAACAAATCAAGATATACTATTAATTTTTTATGCATAAATTAAAAAGTACTACCAACTAGCGGTTTATGAAAACCTCGGAAGAGGACATGTTTATGAGCCGATTAAGGACTGATAAGTTTCCTGTTACTATACAATGAAGATGACGTAGTGTGAAAATAGAGCAACAGAGAATGTTTACTCTATTCGATGCAGATCTTAGTCGAAGCATGAATTAACTAGAAATAGTCCATTTTCTTCTGTTAGAAGTTAGTGCGAAATCATGTCACTTTTGACCCATTAAATGATGAGGATGAATTGCCTAAGAATTCTGTTGCTTTCTGATAATTCATCGACTTTTCAAGGAGTCCATAAGTAAATTTTGTGAAAAGTCATCGATAAAAGCTTTTACGATACGATAAAAGATTCGAACATACACTGATCTTTATTCAAACGAATGAAAATTTACTGTGAAAGAAGTTTATTTCAAGATGACAAAAACCTATTATCATTTTTTAAATACCTATGTTGAACAGAACTACCAAAATACATTGTCTTCATTCATCATCTAGTCAGTGACATTCTTGATTTTGATGATCATTTATGATCGCCAACTCCGCCTGGAGTCCCGCCGGGGGCTACTGCCGGTCCCAAGCCCGGACAAAGGAGGAGGGTTGGGCATGGGGTTAGCGTCCCCATCCCGTAGAAAACTAACTCGCTAAAATCACGCTAACCAGAAAAAATTATTCAAACCTTTTAAACTCTGCCCTGGGAGTAAGAAGGTCTTCATTTAGAAGAACTATGACGCCTCACGATGAAAGCCGAATTTCTTCGGAAGTTACGAGGCCGATGCCCCTTCTGACAACCAGAGCGACCATTTATTTAGGTACATGGAATGTTCGTACAATGTGGGACACCGGGAGAGCCTTCCAAATTGCTGCAGAAATGAGAAGATACAACCTATAGGTACTTGGGATCAGTGAAACACATTGGACACAAGTTGGACAACAACGACTAACTACAGGAGAGCTCCTGTTATACTCTGGCCATGAAGAAGAAAATGCACCACATACACAAGGAGTTGCATTGATGCTGTCCAAACAAGCACAAAATGCACTTATAGGATGGGAATCTCATGGACCAAGGATCATCAAAGCCTCATTCAAAACAAAGAAAGAGGGCATTTCAATGAACATCATCCAATGCTATGCGCCTACCAACGACTACAATGAAGACGCTAAAGATCAATTCTACAATAGGCTGCAGTCAATCATCGAGAAGTGCCCAACAAAGGACCTGACCATTCTGATGGGAGATTTCAATGCCAAGGTTGGAATGGACAACACTGGACATGAAGACATCATGGGACGACACGGACTGGGAGAAAGAAACGAAAATGGTGAGAGATTCGCAAATCTATGTGCCTTCAATAAACTGGTCATAGGCGGCACCATATTCCCACATAAACGCATACACAAAACCATATGGACTTCACCGGATTACACCACGCAAAACCAAATCGACCATATTTGCATCAACAAAACGTTCAGGAGGACTATAGAGGACGTGAGAACCAAGAGAGGAGCTGACATAGCATCAGATCATCACTTGCTGGTCGCCAAGATGAAATTGAAACTCAAGAAGCACTGGACAACGGGGCGGACAATATCACAAAAGTTCAATACGGCCTTTCTTCAGGATACTAACAAACTCAACAAATTCAAGATAGTCCTCAGCAACAAGTTCCAGGCCTTTCATGACCTACTCAATGGAAAAGGAACTACTGTGAAGAGCAACTGGAAGGGGATCAAAGAGGCAATCACTTCAACATGTCGTGAGGTCCTGGGTCACAAGAAGCACCATCACAAGGAATGGATCACTGTTGATACACTGGATAAGATTCAAGAAAGGAGGAACAAGAAAGCAGCAATCAATACCAGTCGAACAAGAGCAGAAAAAGCCAAGGCACAAGCTGAATACACAGAAGTTGACAAACAAGTGAAGAAGGGCATCAGAACCGACAAACATAAATATGTGGAAGATTTAGCAACGGCGGCGGAAAAGGCTGCAAGAGAAGGAAACATGAGACAACTGTATGATACGAAAAAGAAACTCTCTGGAAATCGCCGCAAACCTGAACGACCAGTCAAAAGCAAAGAAGGCGAGGTAATCACCAACATTGAAGAGCAACAAAACAGGTGGGTAGAACACTTCAAAGAACTCTTGAATCGACCAGCTCCACTGAACCCACCCAACATCGAAGCAGCACCCACGGACCTCCCAATCGATGTTGGCCCACCAACAATTGAAGAAATCAGCATGGCCATCAGACAAATCAAGAGTGGCAAAGCAGCAGGACCGGACAACATCCCAGCAGAGGCACTAAAAGCAGACGTAGCGGCAACTGCAAGGATACTCCACATTCTCTTCAATAAGATTTGGGATGAGGAACAAGTACCAACAGACTGGAAAGAAGGACTTCCGATCAAAATACCAAAGAAAGGCGATCTCAGCAAGTGTGATAACTACAGGGGCATCACTCTTCTCTCAATACCGGGAAAAGTCTTCAACAGGGTATTATTAAACAGGATAAAGGACTGCATAGACGCCCAAATTCGTGACCAACAGGCAGGATTCCGTAAGGATAGATCGTGTACAGACCAAATCTTGACTCTGAGTATCATTGTGGAACAATCAATTGAATGGAATTCATCACTCTACATCAACTTCATTGACTACGAAAAGGCATTTGATAGCGTGGACAGAATAACACTATGGAAACTTCTTCGACACTACGGCGTGCCTCAGAAGATAGTCAATATAATACAGAATTCCTATGATGGATTAAACTGCAAAATCGTGCATGGGAGACAATTGATAGACTCGTTCGAGGTAAAGACCGGTGTTAGGCAAGGTTGCTTACTCTCACCCTTCCTCTTTCTCCTGGTGATCAACTGGATCATGAAGACGTCAACATCTGAAGGGAAACACGGGATACAGTGGACATCTAGGATGCAGCTGGACGATCTAGACTTTGCAGATGATCTGGCCATTCTATCGCAAACGCAACAACAGATGCAGGAGAAGACGACCAGTGTGGCAGCAGCCTCAGCAGCAATAGGTCTCAATATACACAAAGGGAAAAGCAGGATTCTCCGATACAACACAGAATGCACCAATCCAATCACAATTGACGGAGAATATATGGAAGATGTAAAAACCTTTACATATTTGGGCAGCATCATTGATGAACAGGGTAGATCTGATGCAGATGTGAAGGCCCAGATCGGTAAAGCAAGAGCAGCATATTTACAACTGAAGAACATCTGGAACTCAAAGCAACTGTCAACCAACACCAAGGTCAGGATTTTCAATACAAATGTCAAGACAGTTCTACTGTTTACTGGGGGCAGAAACCTGGAGAACTACGAAAGCCATCATCCAGAAAATACAGGTGTTTATTTAACAATTGTCTACGCAAAATACTTCAGATCCATTGGCCGGACACTATTAGCAACAACGTACTGTAGGAGAGAACAAACCAGATCCCAGCGGAGGAAGAAATCAGGAAGAAGTGCTGGAAGTGGATAGGACACATATTGAGGAAAGCACCCAACTGCGTCACAAGACAAGCCCTCACATGGAATCCTCAAGGCCAAAGGAAAAGAGGAAGACCAAAGAACACATTACGACGGGAAATGGAAATAGACATGAGAAAAATGAACAAGAATTGGATGGAACTAGAAAAGAAGGCCCAGGACAGAGTGGGTTGGAGAATGCTGGTCAGCGGCCTATGCTCCATTGGGAGTAACAGGCGTAAGTAAGTTATGATCGCCAACATGGGACATAAAAATCTAAAGGTCGCTAAAGTGCAGTAGTATTAATGTGGTTGTACCAATTCTAATTTTGAAACAAAACAATATTTCAAAGGAAAGTAGTCGCAAAATATTATTGTGTATGCTACTTATATTGACAGATATAAGTAACATACAGCACCAATAAGAAATGAAATGCCTGGCATCAGAAGATTGCAATGAAAAGAACAGGAAGGAAATCTGAGAGCAATCGAAATAACAACAGAATTAGAGGAGTAATGAGGTATGTAAAGGACAACGCCAAGATGTGCAAATGATGTATTTAATGTCTGGTTTTCACATTTAACTAGGCCACTGTGATTTTGCGTTAAACAATGAATTGGTTATCCCCATCAAGTCTTTATTCACTAAATTATGACAGCGAAAAAGCTAAAGTAAAACATTTTCGGAGTGTTCACTCTTACCCAGTTAGAGTCACGCATTTTCACGAAGTAGACATTGAGAAAATTATCCAGGCCATAGTGCTAGTCCTCTCTTATATAAGCAATAAACGAAAGCACTTCTGTATATTTCCGACAGGATTTGTATGAAAACGCCTATTTATTTTTTTAAAGATTTATTGAGCATGTGGTCTAGGATTTCATATTTTCCATTCTGTCAACCCGATTTTAAGTGGATTGTTAAAGAGGAACACAATTCAGAGGTAATAAACATCTAGAAAAGAAGTATTAACGTGTGGATACGGGTTATACAAAATGGCTTTGTGGCTTCGCAAAACGTCCCGCATATAAGCACTGGGTTTTTCTGGTCCCTTACAACTCATTGAAGCCCGTCGGTCTACTCCGAGTGACCGTGAGTTTGACCATAAACGAAGCATGTTACGTAATGAAATTGGGCAAAGCTTGCGTAAGGACCGAGAAGCCTGGTGGTCGAAGCGTGCTTATGAGCTGGAAGCAGCAGCTGCATCTGGTAATTACCGGGAGCTCTTCCAACTCATCCAAGGCACTGCCAGCAAGAAGTCTGGTGTGAGCGAAACAATCTGCGAGGATGACGGTACACCAATCACTAACATCCATCGACGTCTTGGACGATGGGCAGAATTTTTCGAAGGAAAGTTCAACTGGCCTGCTGCTCCGGCAACATCGGTCAGATTGTCCTGCCCTCTATGGCCGGTGACGACTGATCCACCAAACGAGGCGCAAGTCCGCAAGGAACAAATCACCTGGCCCAGATGACTTACCTCTGGCCCTTTTTAAAGATGGTGGTGACTTTCTGACTAGGGAATTGACGACGCTGTTTACAAAGGTTTGGGAGCTAGAGAGTGTACCAACGTCATGGAATGAGTCGATAGTTGTCCCTATCTTTAAAAAGGGTTCGCGTCGTTCCTGCAACAACTATCGGGGGATAAGTCTACTTCCGATTGCGTCCAAGCTATTGGCTCCCGTCATTCTTCGTAGGTTGTTCAAAACCCGAGAAAGATTGACTCGCTAGGAGCAGGCTAGGTTCCGTTCTGGTCGAGGATGTATTGATCATATCTTCACCCTCCGCCATACTTATCAAAGGCCAACAAGCGTAGTGTTTCTTGACATCAGGGCTGCCTTCGATTCGTTGGATAGGACTGTTCTCTGGGATTGTCTATTGAAGAAGGGTGTGCCTGAGAATTTTATTAACATCTTAAAGGCCATACAACCACCCCTCTCCACTGTTCCATTCAAGCAGGGTTGCCCATTCTCACCATTTCTCCTCAACTTTGCTATCAACGACGTTCTGGAAACAGCTCTGATGGATGTAAGTAATCGGGGTGTGAATATGTTGCCTGCAAAAATACTTCTCGACCTTGAGTATGTGGATGATATTGTCTTACCGTGCGATAATACACAAGAAATGCAATCCGCACTTAATCAGTTGGCAATCAGTGTCCGTAGGTAAGGTATGTGCTCCGCACCTTCCAAGTGCAAAGTACTTTTATAAGATTGGCAGGACCCTGATCCTACACTCACCATGTGTAGTGAGCAAATAGTAATCGAGAAGTTCGTGTATCTAGGTAGCTGCATAAGTGCTGGTGGTGGCGTGAGTGATGAGATCAATGCACGTATAGTGAAAGCCAGAGCGGCTTATGACAATCTGTGCCATCTTTGGCGCCTTCGTAACGTCAATCTGGCTGTAAAAGGTCGGATCTATAACGCGTCGGTGAGAGCAGTTTTGCTCTATGCTTGTGAAACCTGGCCTCTCCGAGTTGAGGACGTTAGACGACTCTCTGTGTTCGATCATCGTTGTCTCCGAAGGATTGCTGACATCCAGTGGCAACACCATGTTAGTAATGCAGAGGTTCGGCATCGTGTGTTCGGGCACAGAGACGATAATGCAATTGGTGTCACCATCTTGAAACATCGACTTCGGTGGCTTGGACATGTTCTACGAATGTCGTCCCAGAGAATTCCACGTCGTGCATTATTTGCCGACCCTGGGACTGGTTGGAAAAAGTGGAGAGGTGGTCAGTGTATGACATGGTGTTGCGGTATGAAAGAAGGCTGCAAAGGACTGGCTTCTGTTGGTCCCTCACGACCACCTCGTTAGGGTCCTAGAGATGGTGCGACACAGTGGCTAGAGATGTTATCAGATATGGCTCAGAATAGAAGCCAGTGGCGATCCTGCTGTAAACTTCTTTTCCTTTCTTCATAAAAAAACGTAACTTATTTAAGTGGAAGAAGTCTCTGTGGCTGTACTTTTGCTAATTGAACTGTCTCTCGGATTGTTGTTATTTCATTATCATACACTAATTTCTGTTCATTGTTACACCGCTTTTTTTTCTTATACGCACGTTACATTCTTTATATCTTTACGTTGGGATATTCAGGAAAATATCTCAAAAATTATTCTATCAAGTCTAATGCTATTCTTGGACTTGGAGATGGTATTATTTTCTTATTGGTCAGTACTTGTTTCACGTGTCATTTTCCTACTGGTCAATATTGTACAATGTTATTTTCTGTTTTATGGTACGATGTGGTCTGCTTGATTAGTATATAAACAGTGTGTTTGAAATATAATGATTCATATATCCGAGGTTGAGACTTGTGTTCTGGACTCAACTGGCTGGGCTAGACAGGGAAGCGGGACCAATCAGAACCCTAGGCCGTTCTACGTGTTTGCGCGCCTTTGGTCCGATCAATAATTCGCTGTCCTCTAATCTGCCGTCACAGTTATAGCACTTTACATCCTCATTATGGTATGACGTATAAGTATCTGGTGCCCCTTTGTACCAATATTCATGTGTTCAAATAAATAAATATACAAAGTAGTCAAACTGACATCAGCACGACACACTGAGGGTTACCTTTTAGGATATAACTGCAGAAACCGAAATCCTTGCAAGACTACATTTTTAAAGTTATTACGGTCAGTTTCACTTAAAACTTGATAGTTATCCACCATTTGGAAATCACAGGACACCAACTCTTGAAGCCAATTTCGTACATCGTAAATAGTCGCCGTAGAGGGGAATCGATGAATTACACGACCACCTTCTAATGATTTTAACTGTAACCGAACCTACAGTAGAAAGTGGAACAAAACATTCAATATAAAATAGTCATCAAAGTTAGCTTCTCAGAATGATCTAAGCAGTTACGTAATTCATCGGCATGCAAAACTAGGGCTAAATTATCACTGTGATTACTCAGTATATTAACATGCAATATGTGACTGAGGAACAGAAACCCAGGAAAAGATAATCATTTCGTGGAAATTTCGTTTTCGTGAGCAATAAAGAATCAGTATAGGGGTTGTGGAGATCGTTAAGTTTTTGATTGAGATCATGAATCAATTGATGTCAGACCACCGTTGGGAACCTGGAAGCACTGGACGGCCGTTTCGTCCTAGTATGGGACTCTTCAGCAGTGCGCATCCACGATCCCGCTTCCTGCGAGATTCGAACCCAGAACCTATCGGTCTCGCGCAAGGCGCTTAACCAACTAGACCACTGAGCCGGCATCCAATGGTGTTAGTGTCTAACATCAACCAATCCACGAAATTGCGCGACCAACTTCCATTGTACTGAGGTAGATACCTGTCTCTACCCGACACGGATTAGCTCCACTGGTCACGGCTTCTCACTAAAACTCCGAGAATTCCCTCACGAAGCTAGTCACTAGTGAGCACATGTTAATTATCAGTATAGGGGTTGTGGAGATTGTCAAGTTTTTGATTGAGATCATGAATCAATTGATGTTAGACCACTGCTGAAGAGTCCCATACTGGGACGAAACGGCCGTCCAGTGCTTCCAGGTTTCCAACGGTGGTCTAACATCAATTGATTCATGATCTCAATCAAGAAATAAAGAAGTTTCATTGCTCTCGAGGAATCAATTTTGGAATATAAACTGTAAGTTAGCCATAGAACGTTTAAAAATTTATCTAAAGTTTGAGAAACTTACTGTCTCATTATTTCAGTCAACCAGTCGTAAGAACAACGTAAGACCTGGCACGAATCTGTGCATGTCCAAAATGTTACAGTATAAGTCATACAAGGGACAGAAAAATAGCGTTTTGTTATGTCATCAAAATAGAATGTCGAAAGTCTAACGGCTAGAGATTCCTACAAAACATAGGTCACTAATTTAATTCGATAAAATTTAATGAAGTGATGCTCAAAAGAGTAAAAGCGAATAGAGATCTATGATTGAAAAGACTTTTATTTACTGGATAACTGACTGACAAGCTAAAAAAATACTCTGAAATATATTTAAATAATATCACATAAGTCGGCTACTTTGCGTAATCCAGTAACCAAGTGTAGTTTCTAGTATTCAGATTAGAGTTGCGCTATTCACATGATGGTTAGTGATACAAATGGACTGTACAAACAGAATCAAGTGAGATAAGGTCCGGGTATGTAACTCAAGAGTTGAAATTCAACAAGCGTAACTATCTAGTTACACTGAATAATACAGAGAAAATGCAGGAGTTATAGTAATAACTGTGAAATGATTCAAACTTTCAATTAGGTTGAGGTACAAAACTCAAAAAATGTACACAACTAAACAAACACGATTTATACCTCATCTGAGTAAGATGAACTTTTAAGAAATTCTTGTGGAGGATGAACTGAATTACTAGATATTTTAGATTGTGAACCATACATTCGTGACCATCTTTCTTCCCTTGCTTTGCGATCCTCTTCGATCTGTTGACGCAACTGTTCCAGTCGTCTGCGTGATTCCGCCTCGTCTTTACGACGTTCAGCTAGAATTTCATCAATTTCCTTTTGCTTTTGACGTTCCTAAAGCAAGAACAAATACGTCAACAAACGAATAGCACTATACAGAATCTCATAAAGAAGATTTTACGTGATCTTTCTTCAATGATGTCTTTAATTAAATCTCAAACGGTAGTGAGCCGTTGAATAAAATGTAGACGGAATTATACAAACCACAAGAAAATGAAACACTAAAGTGGGGATTTCATCATAACATATGAACAGTCAAACTGGTAATTGAAAGTAAATATGATTTCTATTTTTATGCATTTATTCTATGGGAGCCATGATACTGTTTAAGACAATTAGAAGAATCTGATGGATATTTGAATGGATTAACCATGAGCTTTCAATAGAGGGCATTTGTCATGAACCACTGAATGATTCCAAAAACTACTGAACCCAGAAACCCGGTGATCAGAGCGTGGAAACGAGCTGAAAGCAGCAGTTGTAGCTCCCGAAAGCTCTTTCAACTAATTAGAGCCATTCGTAGCATGAAGTCTAGTGAGTAAAACAATCTGTGAATCTGGTTGGACGTCCAGGAATAGTTTAGCTGGTTTGTTGCTGTAGTAACATCAACTACACCGTCTTGTTTTCTATGGCCGGTGACGACTGACCTACTAAACGGGGCGGAAGTCAATGAAAAACTGACTCCTGTGGTGCTATAAATCATCAGGCCCAGACAACTTACATCTCGCTCTTCTTAAGTATGGTGGCGAACTTTGGTGACGGAACTGACTGAACTGTTGGAAAGGTTTGGGAATTCAGTCAGTCAGCTACAACGTAGGACCAGGCACATATATGCATCGGTCCAAGTTGCCATACTTCATTAATACAACAAGATGGACACCGGATTCATAAAAGTAGTTAATTCAGAGGTGGTAATATATAAAAGAAAGATTGCATATAAGGATATAGTACAGGAAGAAAGAATTAGTTCGTAGAAAGAAAGATATGAAGTAATTTTAATCTCTTAGTTTAAGGGAAGATAGAGAGTGTATACACCGACGCCATTGTGATCGATTCTGAGCCATGTCACCAAGAGTCTCCAATCATTGGTTACGATAGTCACGCGGACCCCAACCAAGTAGTCTGCGTCTACCAACATGGCTCAGACTAGAAGTTAGTAACTTCAGGCACTGATGCCATGTTTTGGTTTGGCCACCCCTAACTTTCTTCCAACCGTCTCCAACACCGGTTAGCATTGCACGTCGTGGTAATCGGTGTTCATTCATACGTAACACGTAGCCCAACCATCTCAGTCGATGAAGATTCATAACCTCATCAACTGATTTACCATCATCCCATAATACCCTGCGTCTAACCTCACAATTACTTACCCGGTGATCCCAGAAGACGCCAGCAATATTTCTAAGGTATCTGTGGTCATATACTAGTAGCTTACGAGTATCTTCTACTATCAATGGCCATGTTTCGCTGCCGTAAATTAAAACAGAATGGACTGCCGCGCAGTATACTCGTCCTTTTGTTGATATACGGATATTTCGCCTTCGCCATAGGTGACGTAAGTTGGCAAAAGCCAATCGAGCTTTTCGAATCCGTGGTGAGATTTCATCAGACACCAAACCATTAGGGCTGATCAGACTTCCAAGATAAGTGAAGTTGTTAACGCGTTCGACTACTTCACTCTCTATCCTTAGTTCAGGTGATGACGCAGACCAGTACTGAAGCAACAACTTGCATTTAGAGGGACAGAAGCGCATTCCAAACATTCTGGCATTGTTGCTTAGTGCTACCAGAAGACTGCATTTTATCAGCGTCTTCACCAAACAGGACTATATCATCTGCGTATTCTAAGTCGATAAGTGGACCTCCTGGATGGAGATCAATACCCGAGAATTCAGTCGACGAGAATGTTATTTCCATCAATAGGTCTTTGATGAAGGTAAACAAAAATGGAGAAAGTGGACAGCCTTGACGGACACCACTTGAGGTTGCAAAAGCAGATGACAGTTCGCCATAAGCTCTGACTCGACTAGCAGTGTTCGAGTAAAGAGCCTTCACAAGGTTTATGTACTTCCGAGGTACGCCTTTCAATGACAGACACTGCCACAGAATCTCGCGGTCTACCGAGTCAAATGCTGCTTTTAAGTCAAGAAAGACCACCACTGTCGGACGCCGATAAGTATGCCTATGTTCTAGAACCTGACGAATGGTGAATATGTGATCGATGCAGCCACGACCAGGTCTGAAGCCAGCTTGATTCTCTCGTGTTTGCAGTTCACGAGTCTTAGTTAGGCGTCTGATGATTATCGAGGCTAGTATTTTAGATGCCATGTTAGTCAAACTAATCCCTTTATGGTTATCACAAAATGATTTCGACCCCTTCTTATATATTGGGATGATAAGTGATTGAGACCAGTCAGATGGGATTACGTCCAACTCTCAGATTTTAGCTAAAATATTAGTCAACCTAATCGCTAAAATTGGACCACCACCCATAAAGACCTCTGGAGCCAATCCATATGAACTAGCTGCCCTTTCTCGTTTTAGATTAACTATAGCCTTTTGAACTTCAGCAAGAGTTGGGGGAACTACTTCAATGTTCCATTCACACTGTCTGGGAATGGAGAGTAGTTGTAGAGTAGCTAAAGGCCAGTTGAACTGTCCTCTGAAATGTTCCGCCCATCGTTCTAAACGTCTGGACTGGGAGCAGATGAGAGTGTCGTCTTTTTCCGAAATAGTCTGACTTACATTTGACTTATTAATTCCAGTTTCTTTTACTAGTCTGTAGAGCTGTCTTGTGTTCCCTATAGCCGCCGCCTTTTCCATCTCTTTTGCTTTCGTTGACCACCACTGCTCACAGTCGTTCCTTAGACTTTTGCTTAACCTAGATCTGATTTCTTAATGCTCTTCATCGTGTTCAGTGCCTGATGGGATGAGTTTACGAGAATCCATCAGTGCAATAGACCTTGAGGAAATCCATTGGTTCTTTGTAACCCTGGGGTTTAAATCACTGATAGATTTCACTGTTTCGCTCACACCAGACTTCTTGCTGCCAGTGCCTTGGATGAGTTGGAAGAGCTCCCGGTAATTACCAGATGCAGCTGCTGCTTCCAGCTCATAAGCACGCTTCGACCACCAGGCTTCTCGGTCCTTACGCAAGCTTTGCCCAATTTCATTACGTAACATGCTTCGTTTATGGTCAAACTCACGGTCACTCGGAGTAGACCGACGGGCTTCAATGAGTTGTAAGGGACCAGAAAAACCCAGTGCTTATATGCGGGACGTTTCGCGAACCCACAGCTGACTGTACCCGCCATTTTCATGGCGTCATGCAATTGTAAGCAATGCTCATCCATACTTTTCAGTGGAATGGTAGCTAGCCTAGAAGCTAGCTCGTTTCGATATTTACTTGCAACAGAAGTTGCAACCAGCTTGCTAACATCAATCCGTTGGTGGCGGTCACTTCGTTGGTCACTGAAAAGTAAGGTAAGATTGGCGCAGACCAAGGCATGGTCAGAGTCCAGATAGGTACTCTAAAAGGAGCGGCAGTCTTGTACACAACCACGCCAGCAGAAGCTGATCGCAATGTGATCAATCTGAGTCCAGGCTTGGGATGCAGAGGGAGGACGCCAGGTGGCACATCGGCGATGACTGTGCCGAAAGTTAGTGCTAGCCAGAAACATGTTGTAGTCTGTGCACAGTTGCAGTAGACGGTCCCCGTTATCTGTCCTGCGACTAACAAGTCCCCATCGGCCACCTAAACGACTCTCTTCTGTGCCTAGACGTCCGACCTGAGCATTCAAGTCTCCGGCTAGTACTACAATATCTGTCGAACGCACTTTCTGGAGAAGCACAGATAACTGGTGGTAAAACCTATCCTTGATTGCATCCGGGCTGCAATCTGTCGGGGCATAGGCGGAGATGACGAAAAGACGTCGTTTCTCACGCCGATTTCTTCTCACTTTGATGGAACTCTCTAATCTAACAGCACATAACCGACTGTTAATGGGGATCCAATCGACTAGTGCTGCCTCAGCTCTAGCGCTTAGTGCGACACCAACGCCTGCAAGACCAGACGAAGATACCACAGGGTCCCCGGATAAGCGCACATAAAACAAGCTTTTCGAAGCGACAGATGGAGCGCGAATTTGTAGTACTTCACCAGAGTCTTGAATACGGGTCTCGGATAGACAACAAACATCGATATTAAGACTTTCCAAAGACATAGCCAGCCCTATCTGTTGTCCAACCTGCATAAGCGTGCGAACGTTGAAGGCAGCCAGTTTGAATGGTGCATGTGATTTCAGAAAAACTGCTTCAGTACTCATATTCGATGGTAACATACAATTTTCAACCGAACAGTGACTCGAGAACGTTTAGATACAGTCGAATTTCCACCATAGACGAGCTGCTGTATAAGTCGAAAAAATAAGTATAGACAGAGTAGGAGTAAAAGAGGGTGAATAATGGCGTAGCAAATAATAATAATAATAATAATAATAATAATAATAATAATAATAATAATAATAATAATAATAATAATAATAATGCGAGTCACTTGATTGTTATTTGGAGCGAGAGGAATATTTTTCATAAGTAGATAGTTTATCATATAGGGTTCTAACCAAGGAAGCCTGTTGACCGATTTGATATAGGGTGCGTACGTTGAAGGCTCCAACGTATAGTTTGGAGCGAGGTTTCAGTAGATCTGGGACAGTGTTTCGCGCACTAGAATCGTTGGCTATGGTGACACTTGAGGAGGAAGATGAAAGAGGAAGTTTAGAGTTGAAAGTCGATGTAGGATGAATAATAGGAATCGAAGAGGGAGGTTGATTATGAATACAATGGTCTTCAGTGCTGTTAGAGGTATGAGGGTGGTTATCACTTCCCGGTTACCCACACCGAGGAAGGGTTCTTCTGGAAGTACCTGAAAACGAAATTGGATTAGAGGTGGTCTTAGTGACCTGAGAACGTGACCGCAGTGCCCAACGGACAACTGCTTGAGGTCGGTCACACACGACCTTTTTATCGGAAATTTTTGTGTTAGCTCCGTACTTGTTGAGACCTTACCGCCGGAGATGGATATCCGTGGGATAAGGCGAGGTGTGCATTTTTCAGTGTCGACCTTTTCTAACCCCACCCCTCCTTGTGGGAAGGCAGCATCGCTGTCATACTGGTTGTCTGAAGGAAACACCTTACTGCTGTCACACTTCTGTACAGTCAGTAGTACGACTTCGCCTTCGGACCTTAAGTTTGTTGCTTTTAGTCTTACTGCTCTTCAACCGACCTGTCTGACATGGTAGGACCTTGAGGAACGGTTGTTCCAGCCAGTATAGCTCGGTTGCTTCATCACGATAGGCAAACCCGGCCACCACGTCGAGGTAGCGACAACGGTCGGGGTTTGGGAATTAAAAAGTATTCCAACAGTCTGCAATAAAGTGACCGTTATCCCTATCTTTAAAAAGGATTTACGTCATTTATGTAAAAACTATCAGGTGATACGTCTACTTCCAATTCCATTCAAACTATTGGTTTCCATCGTACTTCACAAACTACTCAAAATACGTGAAGGATCGACTCGCGAATAGTCTGGTTTTTGTTTTTGTCGTGGATGAATTTTTCATATCGTCATTTTCTACCGCATGTTAGACTGCCGTCATAATTATTGGAGCCCAACAATCGCTGTAGCTCTTGATATCTAAGCCGACTTTGAGTTGCTGGACAGGACTGTTCTATGAGGTTGTTTGTAGAAGAAAGTTGTGCCTGAGGAGTTTAATAACACCTTGAAGGCTCTGTGCACGAACATATTAGGTAAAGTGTATACAACCACCAGTCAGTCAGTCAGTAACAACGTAGAACTTCGTACGTACGTACATCAGTTCGAGTTGCCACACCACATTAGCACAGAGATGCACTTGTCGATTCAAATCCGGTAGTGGTAGAGGTAATAAGAGTATAAGCAGTAATCGGGAAGATTAGGGTTTGGAGATGTTATTTAAAGAGTATAATCCAGTGAAAGAAATTTGGAAAGAGGAAAAAAGGGACATGAAGAATTCAGAAGATTAGAGTTTGGGAGAACACAGAGAGTGGATGCACCTGCGCCATTGCAAACGATTTTGAGCCATGTCATTCAGGGTCTCTAACCATCGGTTGCTGTCATCTCGCGGTCCCCAACCAGGTAGTCTACACCTACCAACATGACTCAGTCCACTTGTCAGTGACTTCATGGATTTGTGCCATGTTTTGGTTTGGCCGCCCCTAGCTTTCTTCCAACCTACTCCTATACCACTGAACATAGCACGTCGAGGCAGTCGGTCGTAGGGCATACGTAACACGTGTCCCAGCCATCTCAACTGATGAAGTTTCACTACTTCATCAATTGATTTGCCATCTTTACCTAGTACCCGTTTCCTAACAACTGTGTTACTTACTGGATGGTCCCATGATATACGAGCAATGTTTCGAAGACACCTATGATCAAATACTAGTAACCTACGGATATCCTCTACTCTTACCGGCCATGTTTCACTGCCATAAAGTAGGACGGAACGAACTGCTGTGCAGTAAACACGTCCTTTGGTTGATAGACGGATATCTCGCCTACGCCATAAATGACGCAAGTTGGCAAAAGCTAGTCGAGCCTTCTGTATCCGTGCTGAGATTTCGTCACACACCAAACCACAAGGGCTGATGAGACTTCCAAGATAAGTGAAGCGGTCGACACACTCAACTACTTCACTCCCTATCACTAGTTCGGGTGTCGATGTAACCCAATCCTGAAGCAACATTTTGCATTTCGAGGGAGAGAATCGCATCCCGAACACAACCACCTCTATACATAGATTCATCCAAACAGTAGGGTTAGGTAGAGTTGCCCAATACCACCATTTACCTTCAATTTTACCATCAACGACATTATGGAAACAGGTTAGATGGGAGCAAATCTTTTATCTGAGTAAATCCTTCTCGACCTTTAGTATGCGGACAATAATGCCTTACCATGCGATGATACTCAAGCCACACAAATCGCTATTAGTCAGTTAATAATCAATGTCCATAGGTATGGTATATACTTTGTTGATTCTAAATGCAAAAAACTTTTACAAGACCGCCAGAACTCAGTACCTTAACTCACTCTTGGTGGTAAGCAGTTAAAAGTAATCGAAACGTTCGTGTATTGGTAGAGTTGTGTGAGTCCTGGTGGTTGCGTGAGTGATGAATTCGATTTAAGTGCAGTGAACCAGAGCGGTTTATGCCAATCTTCAAATCCTTTCATACAATCGTGATGTTGATCTGGTTAAAAAGAGTCGCGCATACAACGCATCGGTTGGAGAAGTTTTACTCTACACCTGTAAAACCCCACCTCTCCAAATTAAGCATGTTAAGCCACTTTCTCTGTTTTTCCTCATCTGTCTCCGAACGATTCCTGCCATTCAATCGCAATACCATATTAATAGTGTGAAGGTTCGGCAAGGTGTGTTCGGCCACAGTGACGATAATTCAACTGGTGTCACCATCTTGAAACATCGACTTCGGTGGCTTGGACATGTACCACTAATGTCATCCCAACGAATCACACATTGTGCATTATTTGCCGACATTGGGACTGGTTGGTAAAAGCGGAGAGGTGGTCAGTTCATGGCATGGTGTCAGGGTATGGATAAAGTATGTACATGACTGGGACTTGTCAGTCCATTACGACTTCCCAGTTGGTGTCTGAGAGATAATGCAACCCAGTGAATTGAAACGTTATCAGACGTGGCTCAGGACAGAAGTCTATGGTAATCGTGTTGTAATTTTCCCTCACTTTTTTTTAAGTGACACAATCTTCCAACCAACATAGCTCGATTAAGTCAGTACCACAGACAAGCCCTACCACCACGCCAAGGCAGCAGCTACGGTCGAGCCATATCTGATTAAACTGCTGAAGATACAAAGTCGAAGCTAGATGGATAATTTCCAATCGATAAGTGAGATCTGAGGGAACCGCTAGGCTCCAGTAATTGGAAAATCGAATAAAACTTAAAAGTTTCAAAGACTTCATTACTCAGAACAGTTCGTAATCTTTGTGACATGGACAAAAACTGATTCATGTGGAGAAACCATATTTACACTTTGTTATTTAAACATTTTATCTTTCAATTACAAATGTTATGAACTGAAATACTGAGGATTAGAACTATGTAGTTAGTGCGAATTCTGGATCACTTAGAGAAAACGCTCATTACTAACAGACAGCAACAAGAGAGCTGTTGACAGCGAGGTACTGAATACAGAATATGTTGAATTGACCTATAAAAGATGCTAGAGTGACGTGCATGAATTAATCATACTGGAAGTCGAAAAAACCTGATATGTCATTTATTTATTTATTATTCATTATGTAAACACATAAACAATGGTACAGGGGGCACCAAGTACATATGCGCCACACAATAACAATGAGACCAGTAGCAGTTATCACTGATTTACGTGAGGGCTGTGATACTGCCAGGGTGCCCAGACTAAAGATGGTTTTCCTGGGGGGGGCAACACCCCGAGCCTTTGACCTAAAGGTCTGGTCCACAGGGCAGTGGAGTAACTTAAGGAGATGCAGTCCCATGGTAGCCAGTGACTAACAATAGGTTCATACTCCATTTGTTTCCTTAAGATCCTGGAGCCCATGTGCACCATTGGTTTAGAATCAGGGTTTTCCGACTCCTCTAGGTGGATCCTTCGGAACCGGTTAAAGCGCCGGACATTTGCTTGCCGTCTTCTAAATTCCGTAAATAACACCCCTGCCGCGAGAAGGCAGTGAATAGGACCTCCCTGGCAGTAGTTGTATGCAAGTGGCCATGTGAGAGCATTTCGAGAGGGAGCGCTGACTCTCACCACTCTCGGCCGTACCAGGGCATTAAAGAGCATGTCATTTATCCACCTTTGAGTGGGACTTAATGAAATAGATTGTAATTATCGATCACGATTTACGTCACGTAAATCTGAGTAATTAAAATATAAATTATCATTGCGGAAACAAACAAAAAGTGCATTTTTCATACTAAAAATAGTGACAGTTCTCCAGAAGCAGTAAGTTAAGTAAAGAATCATATGTCTAACATCTGTTCAGCAACTTAAAAACGACTAGTGTTATGATAAATCTAAATTTTTCACCTTAAACTCATTCATGGCTTTCCCTACTTCTCGGCGTTTAATCTCGGCTTCAACAGACTTTTTACTAATTTCCTCTTCTTTGCGTTGTATTTGAGTCTGAATTAGTTGATAAGCGCGTTCTATTCGTTCTTCCAAAGGTCGTTCACAACTTCTAATTTGAGTCTCCGACATAGATGACACTGATGGCTCTATCATATCTGATCTAAAAGTCTGTTCGGTGTCATCATGCAGCTCATTCTCGGATATATTGCTTGCAGTAGTTGAGTTCACGTCTGAAAATAGTTTGAGAAAATGAATTGAGATATTAAAGGTTTAAAATTCAGTTATGTAAGAATGTGTGGACCTATACAAGTATATTTCTTGCTAGAAAAATAAATTGCTTAAAAGATATTATATCATGCCTAATGAAAATTTCAGTACTCCGTTTTGAATAGAAGAAAAAGTTCATCTTCAATATCATTTAAATCTTAGAAATATATTGATCATTTGAATTTAATAATATAAATAAGCATTTGTAGACTGACAAGTAGTGTGGTTACAAACACATTTTCTAAGTGTTTCTGACAAAGAGTATAATCCAGTTGATTTTACTAGATAGTAGTAAAATAGAGCCTATTTAAAAAAGAAACTTCAGTTCTTATGACAAAAGTTTAGCCACCCACAGTTATCAGTTATATTACTATAGAGAATTTGATAAATCGACGAGGTTTGTAATTGTTAACTAATGAATAAAATGTCGATTGATAGATGAAATAGAATGATACGCTATCGCCATGATAGCCGCTCACGAGACTGAAGTATTAGTTCAAATCCCCGAATAAACTGATAACAAAAGCAAGAGAATTAGCTAGAATGGGATTTGTTTAACAGATACAGTAAAATACTCAGATACAAGTAATTAGTCGGAAAATTAACGTGATTAAATTTCATAATTCATTGGAGGAAATCAGTTTGTTTAATCCCTAGCTCATCAGTGAATTAAGGCCCTATTCTTGCCTTTTACATTATCGATCTTAGGACAGAATGACTGATCTGTGTTGTTGTTCAAAAGATTAACGACCGCAAGATATAACCATCCCTAAGAAAGTAATTAATTTGCATAGACATCCATATAGGTTCAAGTTTACAACAGTTATCAGTTGTCATGAGTTACACTTTCGATATAACTAAGGCAAATATGTAGCAAAGTGTACTAGAAAGTTAACTCACTCACCAGGTACTTGGGTATGAGTCACACTATAAGTGTGTAGAGTAATAAGGCTATCTGGTTGCCCAAATCGAAGTAAGAAGAGGGGGTTCGACCCAGGGACTTAGTGGATGAGACATGTGCATCAACCAGGCATGGATAAAAGTATTCTAGAAATATATTTGCAAAAGATTAAAATGTTTGTCTGGATTGACACGTTGTTTGTGTGCAGTGCTTTTACAGTTGACAATTTCACTAACAGCCACATCATTAAAACTACCTGTTTCTCTATACCAGTGGTCAATATTTTCAGCAATAGTTAACAAATGAAGTAAAGTGGAATATTTTGTTTTTGTCGAATACAGGGTACGTGATTCGAAAGCCCTCACTAAGAGCATGATTGTCAATCCGTCATATTTGCAACATAAACATAACAGTAAGTAATAATTCGGCCACTCTTACAATTGGCGGATTTCACTGACTGACTATCTGGTTGTGTGGAATACTGGTTTTCTTAACATAATTCTATCATTATCATTACAACCAATATTAATACAGTTCCCAGTCACGTGTCATCGCCCATGCAATTACTGTTCAAGTTGAAGTATAGGTAATAATTTATACTAGTTACTTAGGACGGAATGGTGAGCAGTTGCTGCCAGATATATTAATAATTTATCCTTTCAATGATTGAGCAATATTTTCTAGTCTACAACCATAGGTTACAATTATCTAGTGAACTCCAACCTGGAAGTCTGAAACCCCTAAAGTAGCTCAAAGTGATAGTTAATTTTCAATAAAGTGATAACATAATTTTGTCCTGGATATCCTTGGCTATTTTACAGCCTACTCTAAGGCTAACTAAAATCGAAACAGGTAAGCAATGGGTGGGGAGTCTAGATAAATGCGTTTACATACAGCTTTACGGTTAATCCGTTTTTACCCTATTTACATAGTTGGACACTTATCTTAAGTGAAAATATTGTGTTTGTTGAGTATCGAGTGGAGTCTACAAGATTACGTGTGGGATAATTACAAAACAAAGAAGTCTACTTAGCTAAGTTAAGAGTGACAAACGTTAAATTAAGCCAATATTAATTTGTAAAACACAAATTGTTTGTTGCAAACTAACTTACTATTAACTGGTCCAAATCCTGACTTTTTTATCCAGTCCACTAAACTTTTACTCTCAATACGACCCAGCTTTATATCTATTACTTGCCCAGTGGAACCAATGAGGTAAATACAAGGAACAGTAAGGACTGCATAAACTGCTGAAAACTGAACAGCAGCATGAGAAGAAGCTTCTAACTGAAGGCCTGAAAAGTTATAAGTAAATCTATTTATTAGAGTTCAAAAACGTACAAGACTGACAAACAGCGACATAAATTGCACAATAATGAAAGACGAGATTTTTCAGTTGGGACAATTTAAGTTCATCAAAACCACAACTATCGTGTCCAAGTAAAAACCATGTTATTTTAATCTACGTGTAGGTGGATTGTTTCTAGTACTAAAATTACCAGCATTTAGGTACTAGTTATCTGAGTAAATAGGTGAATCCACTATGAGACAACTACAGGTGAAAAATATCTTTTGTTTTGCCTGGCTGTCAGGTAATATGAATAATGAATATATATGAGTGAATTACTGATGAATTATATCCCAATATTATTACAGAGAATTGATGTATAAACATTAAAAGCCGAACTTTAATCTCTAGTAAGTGGAACATTTATACCGTGGTAATAACCAACATAGTAACTAAAACGTGAGCCATTTCGATCCAGGAAATGTACTAAACTGAACTTCATTTCTGAGTTTCCATAAGTGGAACACAGAAATGAGAAACCGGATTGATGGTTAGAAGCAAATTATATGTTGGAGTAGTATTACAAGTCCATACATAGTTCAATCACCTAAGCTGACACACGTACATAGGTCCTATGCAGTAATCCTCTAAGACAGCTATAGTCACATATTAGCAAATTCTAATATTCTGGATTCTTCATGTCCCTTTTTTCTCCTTCCCAATTTATTTCATTGGATTATACTCCTTGAATAACATCTTCAAACCCTAATGTTTCCGATTACTGTTTATACTCTTACTACCTCTACCATTACGGGATTTGAACCGACAACTGAATCTCTGTGTCAATGTGGTATGGCAACTCAAACCGATGTACGTACGTACGAAGTCCCACGTTGTTACTGACTGACTGACTGAAAGAACACATTTCAACCTCCAGAGGTAATGTCCATACTCATGAGAAAATATAGGGAAATGATGAACAATAATCATTGTTTGGTAGGCAGATGAGCATTACAGATGCACGACAAGTGGTAAGAACGAAGTAGTTTTTGTCCAGATTTTGTCAGTTACTAACAATTTAGTGTTGACTATGCCCCACTTCATGAGTGAAGCGGTCGATGTGCTTAACTACTTCACCCTACAGTTATACTAGATGCCAGCCCAGATCCAAAACGAGAAAATATATTGCATCTAAGTCTTGGGAGACGCATTACAAGCATTCTCGTAATATTATTCGAATAATTTGGAAAACTTCATATCTTAGCGGTCTTTACCAAGCAGAACTCATCCAAACCGTGTTGTAACTGCCTCTAAGATATGAATAAATAGAAAAATATTTCAAACAGCAAACCTATGGCAAACGCATTCTGGTGATAAACCCACTGAATATAATCTAAGTTAGTTTCTTTAATGAGCCCAGATGGATGGTGACCGTTTATGAACAGATGACTTCAATTTTATCACCCACTACTACTTTAAGTCACTAAAGGAACTGTTGGCCAGTCTGCTTTAGATATTTACTTCCTTCGGGACCAGATGGGATTTTCGATAATTTGGTGATTAAATTATGAGGATATACAGGATTTCTATTTTCAATTTGATTGTAGGTTTATCGCTTCCTTATTATAGAATGAATACATTTCACACTAAATGAGCATTTTTAACACTTCAACAACCATGAAGTCAATTCGTTAACAGAAGCAAACTTAATCTTCTCATCTCTAAACGAAGTAACGAACACGACTGTGGTTTTCTGGCTTCGCTGTAGGTGTAGATGCACACCTGTATCAATAGAAAGGCAGTCACTAAGCAAATAGATCAAAGGAGTACAAGCCACTAACAGGTTGTTACTAAATATTACAAATAGCAACCAACTTTTACCGCAGCGTTGTTGTTAATGTCTAAACCGCAGTCCTTCATTTATTTACTTACGATACAAGACTTATGGTAAAAGGGAGGCAAGGTTGTCTGGAATGTAATCGTACTGCTTAAATACCTGCTGAACCATCTGATGATTCAAAGCTCGAGTATGCAGTACAGTTTAGTGATTATATACCCCTGAGCAGGTACCAGTAAGACCACTTCCTTCAATACATATTAAACTTAACATTATTTAGACTGACGGAAGACGCTTTCCATGTTGATACACACTGCATTGAGCATGCTAAGAACTCTACGGTTTTGGCACAGTCGATAAAACTCATACACTTTCCCACATTGATAAGTTTAACTAGAGTAGGAACGAACGCAGCAGGATAATGCGGATCCATTTGTTCCATAGTCTTCAGTTGCTTACAACCTAGAATTAATGGCATTGGTTTTAGAAACAAAATAGAACACACTTTACGTCATAATATTAAAAATGCTTTTTCAGTATATATGCAGAGCATATTCATTGGAACAGAAAGAATTATTATTCGCATCTCCAACTATATTTCTCAAATATTGAGACAATCGGTATGCTTCCAACTCATCTATTTGAGGACAGAGGATAAACTAACACAACTCCCCCATATATCCATCTAATAACAATTATATAGGTATTTAGGTGTATAAGAATCTATATGCTGCGAAACCGTTGTTTGATATAACTCGAAATGTTAGTTTACAATGTTAAAATAACGTTTACTTCCGCACATATACTGACACAGAATTAAATATGTTGTGAAAGAATAGGCTCCCAGTAAATTAAAATATACAGAATACTGATTACTCACACACAACATTACAACAAACTTCCCCAACCTGGTCGTCGAACTGGGTGGAGACAAAGCTAGAGTCCTCGTCAGTCCCTGAAAATAATATAAGCTTACTTATGCTTGTTACAGACCTTTAATAAAAACTAGTAGTAATTTGGACTCTTCTTTCACGGATTTAATTGCGTCCGAGACTTCGCCCTTGAACCACTCCATTCGATTTCGATAATCCGCCTATGACACATAATAAGAATACGATGTCCAGGGTACAATAGAGAATCTAGAAGAAACCTCAAGCTTTAAACTTAACAGGATAGACATAACAAATTGTCGGTTCCTTAGAATATGCCTGGAGGTTGTATAGAAGAGCTCTTGGTCAAGGAGAAATATTGTTGTTTTGATCCTTTGAGGAATAAAAATGGGACAAAATATAAATTAATAGTGAATAGAAGAGAATAAAAGGGAAAAATGTAGAGTCATCTCTCTCAGTATCGTTAAAAATCACTTCAAAGGATCCAGCAGGAGATCCTGTCACTAGCTTTTCCAGGAGTGAGATCAGTAGTTTACAGGCTGTAACCTTGCAAGTGTTCACGTTCTTGAGAGATTTTTGTGTTCATCCCTAAAGAAAATCTCTTGCAGATCACCAAGGTAGGTAATCTGTGTCAGTGATCGCGATCGACTCGAGTTGGTTGGGAACAGTGTGACCTAACTCACGTTGAAGTCACACTTCTCTGTTAACACCTTACATGGATCACCCTTTCTTGGGATATGGCTACTGCAGCCACTTCGATGGCCGTATAGGACCAACATGATATTATGGAGGAAATGCATCATTGAGAATAGATTCGGGAGACAGGCCGCGACAACCGCCGGATGGATCAGTCCATCGTGTGTCATTAATTGATGAGCGGTAAGAAAGATGCACATTGATTTTAACTTGAGTCGTTGAACTGTCCGACATTCAGTCGCTTGCATGTTGGATGAGCTTGTTAGAGCCAAGTGACACATCACTTGACCTGCAATGCTCTCCCATTAGAATGAATGGCTGCTTGATTCGATGTCTAATTCTTCAGAAGTGATCACGTGCCAGATGTCACTATGAAATAAATGAAAACCCGTCAGTTATTGACAATCTTTAAGATAAGAAAAAATGTAGGTGGCGGAAACTGATAGGTAAATAACAAGTATTAATAAAGCTAGCAGTTGTGATTAGAACTGAAATACAAGTTGTTTGAACGTAATGTGCAAAAGTGACAATACTAAAGAATAATATGCATAAGAAATTGTTCTAGTGAGTCGGATTGAAAAAGACAGCGTCTACAGGTGACCGATTTTTCCAACGTGCATTGTGTAAAGCAATTGGTAATAGCAATGATGCTAAAGCAATATTACGGCAAGTACATCACCAGATGATGATGGTGCTATCATTGGCTCAAAGTCGAATGTCAGTCAATATTGTAGACAGTTTTCTGTCCGTAATTGTCGAATTCTATTCATATTCATAATTAGCAGGCTAGCTGAAGCCACAGAAACGTAACTGCAGAAAATCAATCGAGATTTCACCGAACTAAGTTATTGATCAATTTTTGTTCAAAGGCTAAAGAGCTAATGATGAGGGTCATATACTACGAGGCAAAAATATAGATCGCACGACGAGAATGTGTCCATGGGATGATAAAAAGCTAATACTGCACGTCAGTCCAATAAGTAAACCGAATTATGTCAAAGATAACACATGAAGTATTACTTTAGACTCATGTCACTTTTGTTGGTGAGGTGTCTTGTCAATGTCAGGGAAGATGTGACGATTTCGTTTCCAGATTGCAGGAGACCTGTAATAAATTAAGGGGTATTTGCCCTTGAGCATGCGGTATGCTGAACGTCAGCTGCCAAGTCATCCGCCTTAGAAAAACGTCGGATAGATCGACATGCTCTCTCCTGTTTAAGTATAGCTGTTGTGAAATATTGGCTCATTAACTCCATACAAGAGTATAAAAGTCATTCCAGACCTAACGCCCTATCAGCGTCGTGCTAGAAGACGTGAAGCGATGGAGTTGATAATAGTTACAACAAATAACCAGCTAGAGACAGTTCGCAACACAGTAAATATTTTAAAGCGCATGAAAAATAAGCATGATGTCGCTCCACAACCGACAGGTCACTCTGTAGATCGAGATGAGCCTGAAGACCAGAAACCTTTGGATAAGATACGGATTCCAACTGCTGCCAAAAAAGTATAACCTGACAATATACCAGCCGAAGCACCGAAGTCAGACACAGAAGCGTCTTCAAGTATGCTTTATACCCTATTCAGAGAAATTTGGATGCAAGAACAAGTGCCGATGAACTGGAAAGAAGGACATCTCATGAAGATACCAAAAAAGGAATATGAGAGAACTGCAGAGGAATCACACAACTATCAGTACCAGGAAAGATTTCTACAAAATGTTGCTGAACTGGATGAAAGGTTCAGTAGACACCCAATCGCAAGATCAGCAGACCGGATTCCGTAAGGATCGGTCGTACACAGACCCAACTGCGACACTACGGATCGTCGTTGAACAACAAGTTGAATAGAATTTGTCATTATATATCAACTTCCTTCACTATGAGAAAGTGTTTGACATTGTGGATGGAAGGATTTTGTGGAACTTTCTTGGACAATATGGTGTGCCAGGGAAGATCGTCAACAACAACCGGAGTCATACGCTGGGCTACACCTCAAATTCGTACATAGAGTACAACTGACAGACACATTCCAAATGAGGACCAGAGTTAGACAAGGTCGCTTACACTCTTACTTTCTTTTTCTTCTGGTGGTCGACTGAATCATGAAGACCTCAACATCTGACGGGAAGGACAGAATACACTGAACAACTTGGAATCAACTAGATGATTTGGACTTCACAGTTGATCTGACTATTCTATCCCATACACAAGAACATATGCAGATGAAGAAAACGGGTGTAGCATCAGCATTTGCATCATTAGACCTCAACATACACAAGAAAGAAAGATCCTCAAACACAACACAGAGAACACCATCCTAATCACAAGTGGTAGAGAAACTCTGGAAGAGGTGGAATATTTCACATACCTGGAAAACATCATTGGTGAACAAGAAGGATCTGATGCTGACGTAAAGGTGAGGGTTGACAAAACAAGGGCCGTGTTCTTACAATCGAAGTACATGTAGTGGCACTGGGCCCTAAACACACAATCCTCAAAGCTGAACACGAAACAGCTGCGAAAATAGATATTCAGCATTTAACGCGGAGAAAAACCCAACGGTGGAGAAGGCGGGTAGGAGGAATTCAATCGAATCCAATCGGGTGGCATGGCTCAGCCCCGCAGGCGTGGTCGCTCCGTATAACTTGCTTTTACTCACATTAAATACATCATTCTATTTCCAACCTGAATGTGTCCTCCACCATATGTTGGTAATCGTTACGATACGATGAGTCAGTGTAGACAATGATGTGACTTAGGCAAGATCTTATAGACTGGATAGTTACAACGTGACAAATCTACAACTTAAGGATTAGCTCCATTATTAGAGCAGTACTAATAACCAAGTAGACCATATCTCTTCAAACATATGGAACTCCAAACAACTGTCAACCAACATGAAAGTCAGAATCTTCAATATGTGATTGTCAAGACATCTCTGTCGTACAGAGCTGAAACATAGGGTACTGCCATAACCATCATCAAAAAAGTACAAGTATTTATGAACGGCTGTCTACAGAAGATACTCAATTTCTGTTGGTCGGATACAATCAGCAACAGCCTATTGTGGGAGAGAACAAACCAGCTTCCAGTTGAGAAGGAAATTAGGATAAAACGTTGGAATTGGATAGGACACATACTGAAGAAACAATCAAACTGCATCACGAGGCAAGCACTAGCTCGGCATCTTGAAGGGGAAGCGGAAAGTGGACGGAAAAGAACACAGGGCGTCGGGAATTGAAAGCAATCATGAAAAGGGTGAACAGAAACTGGAAAGGATTGCTCAGGACAGAGTTTGAAGAATGTTGGTGGGCGGCCCATGCTCCTCCATGAGGGGTAACAGGCGTAAGTAAGTTGATCGGCGGGGTTCATTTTGATAGTTAAACAACTTATAATCGGTATACTTCTTGATTGCTAAGTTCGGACAATGAAATTGGACAGGGCTAAAAATTGTCATTATTTAACCTCTATAATGTTGATGAGTTGTTAATGAGTTCAAAACAGCTGGCAACAATTCAAGTGTTTTGTACCATTTACGCCTTTTCATTTGCCTACATAGTAAGTATGCCAAATAAGCATTTCATGTTGTGTTACAGTTCTCATTGAAAGTCGTAATTTCAGAACAGTCGTTTACTTATCGCAAAGTTAAGCGCTTAGCTGCACAGTTGAAAATAGTAGGTGGATATGCCACCACTTACTTTCCACTTTATAAGTAGTGCTTCCGACATTTGTCCTTATGCTGTACATGTGCAAAACTTTTAGTTGACATTGTCTGTTTGCGCTGTTGTCGTAGACCGGCTTGAATGCTACTGATCGTTTCGGCAAATGGAAAAGAACTTAAGGTTTCCAACCTCAAATGGGACTGCACAGAATTATTTAGGGAGTGCTTTTTAATTGTACTTTTGTAATCCAATAATACTAATACATTTTGTTGTCTATTGAGAGTGTTTTTCCAAACCAGCCACTCAGGAAGTCGATTTCCATGAATGTCACGAAAGGCCGATCAGCGTTAGATATTGACCGTGAGGTGTGACTTCAACGTAAGCTAGTAGGTCATACTATTCACATTTAACTCGAGTAGACCGAAATCATTGGTACAGATTACCTAAATAAATGATCTTAAAATCCTGAACAGTCTAGATGCGTTTCATAGTGTTAGAAATCGGGCAAGCTTGTAACCTAAAAACGAAATTAACTTAAAATCCAAATATTTGTTTCTGTAATTTATAGCACTTTATTTGTCTACATTTTTATAGTTAGCTATTCAGATAGAACTGGTTGTAAACCACCAGACATTCAGCCATTTTTGGACTAGAATACTGCAAGATTTTTGGCTGAATGAACCTAGAGGTCCAAAGCGTGAAAACAGACGAACTGGGTATGTCATTCATGTAGATCAAGCACAAAATTAGGTCCATCAAAACCTTTTTAGAAGTCATGTTATCTGGCATCAGACTTTGTCTTGCGATCAAGGATGGTTGTAAATC